ACTATACTGACTAAAGTATTAGGTAACAGGACAGGTCGTGGTTTCTTTTGCTTTTGGATTCATTCATTTTGCAACTAGGAATTGTTGCTTCTGGGTATTAAATACGAAAGATGAAACAGACAGATACATTTGTCACAAGTAATCAGATGAAAATAAATAAATAACAAACAATGTATTGTATGTACAAGTCATCACTTTAATTATTTAACATTTTAATATAATTACAGAGTTTATCACAGGATAATCATGGAATGCATTGATCACAGATAAAAGCTAAAAGGATTTTTCCTTTTGTAGTCGTATCATCTGAACAGATCAGTGAAGCTTTGTGTACTCTTGCTGTGATCCTGCACATTGTGCAGCACTATGTTCCCACCCTCACTGAAAGCCTACATTCCCAAAGACAGGGACTGCACACATTCATTGCATGCAGGTTTACCAACGCCCTGCAGCAGCTGCTGCATGCAGCTACTCTTGCTACTCTGTGAAATACTTTCACACACATATTTTGCTTTTGGCTCCTGGGCAAAAATGTATCAACCTGAGAGAGGTTAAAGACAAACCTGTTTTTGGAATAATACAGGCTGCGGTTGCTTTCTCCTGAACAGTGTTTGTGTGTTTGTGTGCAGCAGGGCTACACGACGTCACCTCCTGGTTCTCTGAGCCATGGAGACAGCTTCAACAAGGGGAGACCCAAAGACAGAAGTGAGTGAACACAAACAAGAGTCATATATTATTTGTCTTTTTGAATCAACACAAACTCTTACAAGTTGTTGGTCTTGTTCTGACGTCTGCTGCCGTCTTGTTTCTGTGCTGCAGCGATGGATGACGTCAACACGGAGTTATTGCAGAAAATCACTGCTAACAAAAGCCAGCCGGCCACCAGGAAGTTCCGTGTGGAGCGATCATCCAGCAGCCATGTACCTCTCACCTTTGACTCAAAACCAGAGCAGGTGACTGCATGGCTCAGCGCATTAGGTTTCTCAAAACCGTAAGTCACCCACGTAGTCATCAGTCCTTTTCCTACACCTTCTTCAGTTCTGACTGAAATGTCAGAAATTATTATTATTATTATATTTGGCTTGCATTGTATTTCGACAGTTTTAACATACTGTCAGCAGTGGATTTTTAGTACTTCAGTATTTTCTACAGACATTCATGGAAGATAAGTCCTTTGATGATCCTCTCACTCCTTCCCCACCATGAAGTTGACGTTTGTGAGTGAAATATCTCAACAAATATCGGATTGACATGAAATGTATGTCCCGCTGAGGAAGAATTGTGATACCTTTGGGGATCCTTTGACTTTCCATTTAGCACTTAACTGGATTCACAGGATCAAGAGATTGCGTGATTTATCATGCCAGGCTTCATGTTAAAGCGCTTGTGTCCAAACCACACTGGTTCAAACAAGTTAGCGTCCTATGACGAACTGCTGAAAACCACGGGCATGTGATGACAGCGGGAACAACAATGTTGGCTCCTAAAGAGAAGAGAACTGGAAAGTATTTCTTCTTTGAAATAAGACCAAAGAACAGCACTAAAGGCTTTTCCTGATTAAAAATATGTTTTCCCTCTTCTCCCGACTGGATTCAGCAAGAGTTTGATTCACCAACTGGCTTTGGTAGTGGAAAAAAGGGAGGTTTTGATTGGTTGACGTTAGTCCATGATAGAGAGATGGTTCATCCAGTCACCTGCCATGTATTTTTTGAAAGTACCTGCCCTTTTCCAAACAGTTTCCAAGGACAACTTCCCTGATAGTTCTGTGTAACAAACCATATGTCCTTTCAGTAGCATCCTCAGGTCAAAATTTTAACTTGCCCAATACTTTGGTTTATAACTTGAAAATGTCCACATTACATCTACTAGACATCCGCATGTTATTATTGTCACTGTGTGCATGTTAGCCTGCTGAAAACAGGCAAACAACACTCTCTATCTTTAGACCCTTGATGATGTTAGCATTTAGCTCAAAGCACCACCGTGTCAAAGTACACAGCTGGACCAGCAGCAGCTGTTATCACCCCAGGAGGAGAGGTGGAGACCCGGGAAAGACACCATGCTGGCCCAGCTTGGACTTAAGGCTGCTCCGGGTTAATGTCTGGTCTGGACAAACAACAGGAAATCAGAGGTTGTTGTGCCCAAATCTTTACTGAAACATGCCCCATTAACATCTCAGCTCCTCAATCCTCGTTCTGACCCAAAAGAGCAGGACGAGAGGAGACGGACTCTGTGTTTACATCGATGATGCTTGGAGACAAAGTGGATGGACACTTCTTTTTATGTGAAAAGGAAATTTAAATGTCCCAGAAAGCCATCCCATTGAGCCAGCATGCACAGTACCAGGATGCTGGAACAGACACACGCCAAATAGATCCAGTTGTTATAGATAACACCTGTGCTTTTCCTGATATTAAATGTAAAAGTCTTTGTCTGCAGGACGGTTGAATGTTTGGGGATCCTGACTGGAGCCCAACTGTTTTCCCTCAACAAAGAAGAACTGAAGGCGGTGTGCGGAGACGAAGGCGCACGAGTCTACTGTCAGGTCACCGTGCAGAAAGCACAGGTGGAGGTCAGTCACACCTGTTTCATTTACTGTTAGACAGACAGACAGTAAGAAAAAAGCCACATGTTAAGACAAGTGAATACACTCATACTACAGTTATCAAACTATTACAGAGTCACCCTCATATAATTAATACAGGTGCAGTCCAGTGTGTGCACAGTGTCATCAGGTCAGAAGTATTTAGGGAGGATTACTAAACAATGTATCAACTCCCCACATGGAGTATAACATTATAACAGAGTTATGCAGGATATGTTAAAAAAACAAGGCGATTACGCTAAAGCAGATGAATCAGTAGTTATGTTCACTGATAACTTAAATCTCAGATCTTAAACTACAGAATAAACCTGTGATATTATTCATGAAATGTATAATATTTAATACAAATAATTTGCTTTGGCCATATGCTGTTTTATGCGGGGAGGATCTTAAGCAAACAGAAAGAGGTCGTCACTGAACATAACGTCAAAATCTTGACCTACATAAGAAGTCTGACCCATGTTAATAAAAAATTAAAATGCTCCTTGCTCGCTGTCTTAAAGCTGGGGTTGGTAATCTTTGAAAGCTAGCGAGAGGCAGCGAGCAAGGTTTGAAAATAGCTCCGCTCCCCCCTCTGATTGGCTCATGGTTCCGCCTCCTCTGATTGGCTCATGGTTCACCTCTGATTGGCTCATGGTTTTCCCCCCTCTGATTGGCTCATGGTTCCCCTTCTGATTGGCTGCATCGTTCCCCCCCCTCTGATTGGCTCATGGTTCCCCCCTCTGATTGGCTCATGGGTTTTCCCCTCTCCCGTGCAGTGTGGTCGGTCCAAGCCACGCCCCCACAAACTTGGCGCACGTTAACGTTAAGCTACCCCGCCGACATTGAGGGGGGGGCTGCAGAACTAGAACACGAAGCAACCTGAATGGTTGTTGCTCTTCGGACCGAAGGCCACGGATTTGGCTCGGAAGTTCTGCTCAGTCCTGCAGCTGACAGAGAGCTCTGATTTTCTCCGTTCTTTTTTCTGAAGACATAACGAATTGATTCCTCTGACAACAGAGGGACCATTTCACCCAGTATAACAAAACATGCTTCTGAACAGGATTGCCTACCCTACCTTTAAGTCCTGATTTCCTCTTCATCTTTAAGATTATCTTAGTTCCCTGACAGCTGACAGGATCATTTACTGTGTATTTTCACATGCTCTGATAAAATATGCTCTGTTAAACATTTAACATTTGTGTGTGAACAGGTTTTAATTTACATTTATTGGCCACAGAGAAATTATGAATATGTTTTTTGTTCAATGATCCATGTGCTTGGATAAGAAAGGTAGCCGTTTTTTTTAACAGTCACTGAAAGGTCCTAAACTTATTTTCTTTCTAATAACTTGAACAGAATTTTGAAAGAGAAAACAAAGAAATCATAAATAAAGTTGAACATTCCTGTGTTTACAGAAGACCAGTGGAGACTCAGAGCTACAGGAGATCATGAGGCGGAGGCAGGAGAGGATCGACTCCGGCAGCACAGACTGAACCAGCATGACCCATGCAGACGCTTTACTCGCCTCACTGCTTTCTAACTGCAGCAGCTTCTTAAATTGATCTATAGTCATAGATACTGAAGTGTTGTATACATTTTTAATTGTATATTTATTTTGTATCAACCAATGTGTATGCATTCAAGTGTTTTCTTATCTAATTATGTTGCTTTTGTCTTCATTGTCTCAGAACATAGATCTATGTACAGTTTTGTGTGTATGCGAGCGTGAGTGTGCGCGCGCGACAACAAGCATGTAACATACATATTTGTACAAGCAGTGTTTGATGTTTATGCTTATTGTCAATATTGCAGCTATTTGATGAATGACTTGTTAAATAAGTAGATCTTAGCTATATCACATCTAAATCTGTGCCAGAATGTATGACACATTTTCTGATATATAGCCAATTATTTTCACATGACTTGTTTACAGGTATAATAAATAATAAAACACGCTCTATGTTAGTCCTCCTAGCAGGCAGCAGAAGTAGTCTTACTCTGACTGGTAACTGCAGATCAGCAGAAGGTATTAATATAGAATAATGTTGCTGTTTATAATCAGAATTCAGACATTCTGGCACCACAGAGAAACTGTCAATAGTCCTGCATGAACTTATTGTCAGTAATAGTGAGATGCTGTTATTAATGTGTTTTAATGCAGCATGATATTTTGCAGTGTGAACTGCACGTACAGGAATAAGGAATATGATGAGATTATGTTGTTCTGATATTGATAATTAAATGAAGATTTCGACAAAACGTTCCACAGGGTTGTAAATATCATGGGACACTGTTTTAAAAAGAATTAAAAAAATAAACTTGTTAATTATTTGATATCACATCTTTTTTTTTGTACACAATTCTTGTGTTTGTCTTTAGATTAATAATGCCAGAGGTAGAGAAACAGTCAATACAGTTCCTTTATTGTAAGACCAGAACAAGAGTTGCAAGTAAAGAAGTTTGACAGAAAGAAGAAAATTTAATTAAGTGGAGAACATTTTCATCCTCAGTTAAACAGGATGTGTCATTTGTCTGTTTTATTGTTCAAACTGTATCACATTGTAAATAAAGAAAAAAACATCACCTTAAATAACTCACAAATCAATTTTCACGATTGTATTGATAACACCATACCACTGATGATCAAGATACTGTAAGGCAATTTAGAGAAAATCCTGTGAGCACTAAAAATACTGCACAGAATCTGAAAAGACTATAAACTATAACACCAACGATAAGAAAAGATCATTCCCACACTATCAACTGGATTATAAAACCAAACTGATACAATCAATGTATGATGCAGAAGAGAAGAAAAACATCACTCCTTTTAGGTACAGTGTAGAGTATACAATTGGTCATTTATGGAGATATGCATCAAGCCAGAGGTCCCCTGAGTTTTTCAGTGACCTGAAAAAGAAAATGAAAGAAAATGCACAAAAAAAAAAAAATCAAAGTAATTTACATTTGTGAAACTCCCGAGAAAATCTATTACCTCATTCTGTCTTCATTAATCTGTCATTTGCACAAATGTAATATCTTTGGTTAGAAAATCTGTACACACACACACACACACACACTTCTCTTGCAGCGTTGTCAGACAACCTCAACCAGTCTCATCCTGGCAGTAAATAATGTACTCCTATTACTGGACTTACCTGATAACATCAACAAGGCCTTGCCACATCGTCTTCACCTGGTAAGGAATCCCATGTTTCTCACACAGTGCATGGACCAGCGGCGCCACCAGGTGGTAGTTGTGGCGCGGCATCGTAGGAAACAAACTAGAAACAAAAGGAACAGACAACATGTCTCAACAATTGCGTTTTAGGTTACAGGAACCAGCATTAACCGTTTCAGCAGTTTGAGCTAAAGTAGCTTGTCTGTTGGATCGGACCACACGGGCCAGCCTTCACTCCCCACCTGCATCAATGAGCCTCGGCCCCCCATGACCCTGTCTCTGGTTCTGTTCCTTCCTTGGACCACTTTAATAGG